GTCAAAATCATTTCAAGCTGGCTAACCAAGAAATAACATGTTTCATGATCTTATTAAACGGTTGGAAACCATTCTTGATCATTCTTTTTCGTCGTTCAAATCAGTATAGTATCGGGCAGAAAAAACTAATCTCCATAAATGAGCTATTCTCTGTCAAGATGCTTTTTGGATTGCGGGAACACACAATGATATGAATATAAACATAAACATTTGTATCTTGGTTTTTAGAGATGTTATGTCAGATGCTGCATGTCTATGTCCCCATGCCTTTATTTACAGAATTAGGGGAAAGGGGCATTGCCTGGCATTTATCCACAAAGTCACTTAATAGTCATTTATCAAGCTAAGGTCACTTTTTGTGGTTGTAGTGTGCAGAAACATTTGTCCTGACAATTGAAAACGGGAGACCCTCTACAGTCTTGAGAACAAAGATCTATCTAGCTTAGCTTACTCTACCAAAATTATTATAAGTTTACTATGGAATGCTTTTTAAACTCTCCTGTATGTCCTGTTCTGTTGTTGTCCCTGCTTTGGTCGCATACTTTGGGAAGGTAGCTTGAATTTGTGTAATAATATGTTTTCCTCTATTTTTAGTTTTTATTTATGCTACAACTTGCAGATTGGGAAGGTTGCAGGACAGCAATGCGGTCTTATCTCATTTTAATGAGTACTCAGAACATTGCTTTGCTGAGGTTTCTAGTGATTTTTCAAGAAATACACGTCTCTTGAAGTCTATGAAGTCAGACCTTGATTATATATTTCAAAAGCTTAGGTATAATTTCTTGTTTTAAGTGACCACATACAACATTTTTATTAAATAATTGTTTTTCTGTGATGACATTTAAATTGTAATACATGTGAAGGTTCTTGTATATGGGATGTGTCAAGTTATTGGTTAAATTACACTATTGCTGCCTTATTATCTGGCTATTGTACTTTGCCAATATACTCTAGTTGCACAACTGGTATCTGAAGACTCCTTTTCAGTACTCCTTTTCAGTCATGTTAAATCATCTCTGTTTGTAGTCTCCAAAGGTTACTAAACTTGATTTCTTAGGTAGAGTTAGAAATTTTACAATAAATTAAATCAATGTACAATGCAATGATTTGTAAATATGCTTTGGCAGAGAAAAAGGAAAAGTATGATGTAAAAATTTTTTTAGAAGCTTAAATAATGTATTAACTGATTGTAATTTTTAAAATTATGGTATCTGCTTCAGTTAGCAACATTTGAATGTGAGGACTCACATCTCAGTTCCTTTTTGTATGACTGCTTTGTGTTTATCTTTGTATGGATTTCAAATAGAGGATTTACTTTTCGACATATTGTAATTTTTGGATTTCAAATAGAGGATTTACTTTTCGACATATTGTAATTTTTGTTCCTGATTTAGACTAGTATACGTATCTATAATTGAATTATAGCTGATCCAGAAAGAGTCACTCTGTCCATTTACTAATTTATCCACCCATTTATACTGCAGGAGCATGAAGGTAAAAATTATGGCTACATATCCAGATGCATTTCCGGATGAATTAAGTAGGGAAGAATTTGACCAAAGACCAGATCTAGAAGTGCCTCAGTAGCTTAACTTGTCTTGATTGTTTTCTTTTACATATGCTATTATGATAGTTACCGCACATTGATTGTATCTGTAAAGGAAAGAGAAATGAAAACTAGAGAAAACATGCGGTTGGTTATATCAGCAAAAGAAAGAAAAATGAAAACTAGAGAAAACATGTTTTATAAATCTGTTATGCATTTAAGCGTTATTTATTTTTGTTTGAAAACACTTACAGTAGTATGTGATTTAGGAATAATTTGTGAATACCACCAGAGTTGATCCCTTAAGTCTCTGCTGAAAAACATCTGGTCTAACAGAAGCAAAACTTTTTGTGTTAAGAGTAGAGGCGACTCTTCAAGGAAAAATTGTGTGTTGTGCATGGTCGAAGACACGTGTTGGACAGTGAATGTTGAATGGCGGCGAAACGAGTTATGAAATTGCAGGCTTTTGGACTTGATCTGTTTTCCTAAGACAAGTCCTGGCTCTGAAGGAGAAGAGGGGAAGGGAAGGGAAGGTTGGTTTTCAGTTAAGACTGAGAACATGTTTTACTCTGATCAGTTTTGTTTTGTTGCGTTAGTACTTCCCTAGCACGCGCTCAACTCCAGCGCGTGACTTGTGTATCCGCAAGGCAGCCAACAGCAACACGCAAAGCTTACTTGCCTACCTTCTTTAGAGATGAGTAGCATGCAATATGCATCATGCAACAAAGGCACAGACCTTAGTGGCTTTAATTTGTTGGACGGCATTTTCTTCTGTGAAGGAGATGGGAAGAGGGAGAGGGAGAAGCGAGATTGAGAAAGAGAGAACCAAAATGAGAGAAAGGCAAAGAAGGGCAATCACTACAAACATCTTTCATGGGCTTAGGAGGCATGGCGGGTACCATCTCTCCCCTCGCGCTGATATCAATCAAGTCCTTTGTCACCTTGCCAAGGAGGCTGGTTGGGTGGTTGAACCCGATGGCACCACCTACCGCTCCATCTCCGTCTCCAAGGTACTACTAACTTTTTCTTTCCCTGGGAAACAACAACACAAAACTTATTACATGGTCTGTCTACTTTAAAACACTTCTACCATGAATGCCTCGGACAGGACAGGATCATGGATTTAACTTTTCTCTTTTGATTTTACCCTCTGCGATCAAAATTTTGGTTTTGTTCGGCTCAACTTTCTTCCTTGATTGATATCTCTCAAAGACTGCTCACTGCTGCCCGGTTTGTGGAGCCATGAAACCAAGTACCACCCCAACACCCAGCAGCAGCGTCGTGATAGGTGGAGGAGAGTGTTCGACCACCGCATCCCCTCGAAACAACCCGGAGGCAGCTGTTGAAGATCCCATCCGCGTCATTGATAGTTTTTGCGACAATCTCATTCCCATAGCTCCTTATATGTATGGTGGTGAGGATGGCTTTTCAGCGTTGGCATTGCAGCAACTGTACCCGCAGGAGGCAGCACCACGTAGCCAGTGTATGCCACTTGGTTCACCTCTTGTTAGGGGAAAAGAGGAGGGAAACATATAACTAGAAACATTTCATAGAAACAGAGACTAAATAACATCTGGGTCCGGTTTATGAGTTTAAATTCCAATCTACATTCTGAGCTTACTTTGGTATGGATATATTCGTGGGTTGTCGTTTTAATCCCACGATTTTTTAATGGATTATGAGGTAGAAAACCGAAGGCACAAGTCTGAATTTAATGCTTCTATACATTTTAAAAAAAAATCAATTTAAAAATTTTGTCCCTGGAAGCAGTTACATGTCAATGCCAATCTGCATTAAAATGGAACCCATTTTCTTTTTGAGCAGTTTGGATTAAGGGAAATGAAGCTATAGACAAAAGGAAATGTACATAGACATAGATAGCCATATGTAATAGGGCACGCCACACATATCGAAACAATACAAAACTGATGAACAAATGCTCTAACTCAACAGCCTTCATATTAATATAATAATCACTTGCTGCAACTCTTCGCTTTTAGCGGCACAATACTAAGCATGAAAATGTCCAAAACAAACTCAAAGCTTGGATGCATGCTACTTACAACACTTGTTTGGATCAACTATCAGCGCACCTCCTTCACTGCATCAAGAAAAACCAGGAATTTCCCCTGGCATCGGAGCAAGCTCATTCTTACTAAACCTCTCCTCATCATAGAACGAGGCTTTAACAACCCTCCCCCCAAAATATCGACCATCAAGGTCAATCAATGCTTTTGTTGTTTCCTCTGACCTCTCAAACTGTATGAATATTCTCACTGCCTCCTCTGAAGGGAAATTTGGCTCTGTTATCTCAAATATCAAAACTCGGGTAACACTTCCATACTTGGCACACTCAGATCCAACCTCATCTTCTAGTTCATCATCTACTTCACCAGGACCCACCTTCAAGAAGCAAGCACAATAGTTAGCCACTCACACCTCCATCTCGTCCGTGCATCTCAGCCATCAAGACAGCAAACAAATCTCTCATATTCTTTCTCACTTTTATTATTTATAAGCGATAAAAATTATCCAGATAATAACAATTAATTTCATGAACAGCTTAAACACATCCAACAAGACAAGGAAAAAAGAAAATCAAATAAACACTACATTAGGAAAAATAATTTGCACTGAACTCGGAATGGAAGTTGGCGGTATCCACAACCAACATACGCACAAAACAGTCAACACCAACATGCATCCTAAGAAATTGGCTACCTTTCTCTTCTATATAATTCAATGCAAACAAATTATACCATCATAATTACTTCCAAGAAAGAACCTGAGCTAGACAAGAAAGAATTACATTGCTTTTATAAAAAATAAAAGAATAGAAAACTGTTTTAATAGTAAGAACCCCATTATTGCCAGATTGCATTTGCTGTCATCATTCTTTAAAATGCACTTAGTAAATTAATTTATCCATAATTATATATGCAATGCTTGTTCCATTTCACCGTTACAAACAGTGCAACCAAGTTAAAGGACATGAAACCAAAGAAAAGAAAAACTGAGGAGAAGACCATGTAAATCTTCTTCCTCTAGTTTTCTCCTGTTGGTTGGAGAGCTTGTAGGAGGTGTATAGTTAAGAGAAATTATTAAGGAACTTGTGAAATAAAGGGGGAAAGGATGTGAAGACCAACCACCATTTTACCATCCTTCTCTACTGTTACTACATGTATTAGACTAATTAAGTCATTGCTCTAGTCATTCTTAGTGCCACACATCTTTTCAATTCAATATGCTTCACTAGTTAATGACATGACCATTATAATGTAAATAGACACAAGCAAAGACACTCGTATAATTATCATATAGGCCCAAGATAACCCAATCATGTCACAAGCCTAAGATCAGGGAATGCCAAGCTTGGCTATATCAGTTGAATCCAACCCTAGCTGAATGCTTTATAATATATCCAGCTAAATGATTACTTCAAGACACAAACTTTGCCCCAATGTCTATTTCAGAATGTGAACTTTTTGAGACTTTAAAAATTGAACATATTCCAGTAATGGTGGTTGACGAACTTTTTAATTTTTTTTTTCCCGTCGACTAGGCCAACATCACTTTTTAACTTTTTTCCCCTTTACTTTTTGCTTCTTTCAATTCTTTTTTTCAGAATGTCCCTTTCCCACCATAGACACAACTTTCCTTTTTAATTCTTCAACCTTTAACTTCTCTAAGCTGCCCCCTTTCAAGTCCAAATTTCAAGATTTAACACATCTTCCAAGATACAAGGAAAAACTTATATGCATTTGATTAATCAAAGGAATTTTAGAGGTTATAGTTTAAGAGGAAAAGAGGTTTTCTCTTTTCAAGGAAGGGATTGTCCTACTCAACTTCTGCCTTTAAAAACTACAAATATAGAGTCAATCATTTTTAAGAGCATTAGTTAATATCATGATTTGTCATTTCCAAGTAGGAAATTCACCATTTTAAGAGCAAAGGAAAGTAAATGAAAGATTGTGTTGATGATACGGGGTCATGAGAAAAGCTATAGTGCACGTCGCTTGAGTGGGAATCAAACTTTGGCTTTAGAAGCATCTAAGAGGAGTAAATATTAGAAATCAAACATTATTAAAAAATAATGCATGTTCTGGACTTTTATACCCAATGATGTAATGGCTAAACTATAGATTTTCCGAAATCACACCTTTCAAACATTCCTTGGTTGTAAATAGAGTCTAGATTCTTTGTATTTGGACAGATGTATCTGATATGAAATTTGGACTTGAATGGGGCAATTGAAGAAATTAAAGGCTGAAAAATGCAAGAAAAAAAAAGAACAAGCTATGGATATGGTGGGAGAGAGTAAGAAGGGGAAGATTGAGAGAGAAAGCAACATTCTGAGAAAAAAGGGGAAGATTAAATGGTGATGTTGTCTACTTGACTGCCACATTATGTGCCACCTATCACTTTTACAGCTACATGGAAAAATTTAATAGATCTAACAGATTCCGCAATCAATTTTCCTGAATTTGTTCAATTTTTGAAGTTTAGATCCTAAAATGACCAATTAAAAGTTAATGTCCTGAAGTGGAAATTGGAGCAAAATCCATGTCCTAAACAAGCATTTAGCCTAAAACGTCCAACATGCCCCCAGCTGTTTCAAACTAGCCTGAGAGACGTGTTTTTGGCGAAATTAAAAACTTCAATTAATACAAGCAGTAAAATTTTTTCACCAAGAAGCCAAGGAGCCTAGTCCTGCTGAAGATGGGCTCCCAAGAAAGGTGACATGAAAACAACCTTATCCCCCAAGACCTAACTGTTAGTTGTACGATATCAACTCTCAAGACCAAAACCGAAAGACATATGTTGCCAACCTAAGCATCTATGATTGCAATAAATAGCAATTCAATACACTAGAATGGAAAAATTTTAGACTAGTGAAGCACTGCATTCTCCAGATTTGTCCTAAAACAAGCAACACCCCACCCGATTAACTACAAACAACTTCTTTGAGTGGTTAAATTTGACCTAACATTAGGCTTGAAATAAATTTCATGTTAAACTTATGTTGCATATTGCTAGGGTCTTTCAAGCACTCAAAAATCCATGAATTCCTCTTTATGGTGTTTATCACAGTGATTGGAACAAACATAAAAAATTTGCCATATTCTTTTGCTACTTTGTTGTTGGATGATTTAAGCATTCAATGGTTGCACTACTGCATCCATTCTTTTCTCTGTGTTATATGAAGTTTCATCCAAGCAATCAGTGATCTGGTACGTCATAATGTGTTTTCAACTTAGACAAGACACAGAGAGCACAGAATCCAGAAAGGCAAAACAGAATTTATGAGTCCAATCACTATAATTGAAGGCAACCATCAATAAATGCAAGCATGACATAGCATCAAGACCTACACAAATAAGTAGGATATGCCAGAACCCTTTGATCAGGATGATATTCATGAAAGCACCAGTTTTGAAAATTACGTATTAAAAGTAGTGGACATACTGAAACCAATAGAAAAGAGGTCAAGCAAAAGAGGCTACTGAAGCCGTGTAAGAAAAATTTAAGCAGTGAAGTTTAAATTGCAAGCAGAAATGCCATCTAAAACAAAGATAAAAAAATGTAGCAAGAAGAGCAATTGGGCATATACCATGTTCCTAAGCAGCAAAACACGAGTAGGGGGCCCATTGAAACTGACACTCTTGACCTTCTTATCAGGCTTAGTCTCACTGGCATTCACAATCACACCAGCTCTCCTGTCTGTCTTCTTTGCCATCAATGGAGTAGTAATTCCCTGCTCCTGCTTCCCAAGACCCTGCCCTTCCTTCCACCCCATTTTCGCCATCATCCTTTGGGCGGCAGTCATCTGCCCACCTGCCCCAACGCCCAGCCCACTTGTCTCCGACTTTCCAATGGTAAAGCCCTCAGCATTCCCCGGCGGAGACGGGGACCTTGGCACTCCGCCACTCATGGCTGCACGTCGTCTCCAAGCCTCTTCGCCAGAAATATTCAACCTTGAATCATTGTAATCTCTTTCCCTTTCCCTTTCCCTCTCCCTCTCTTCTCTCTCTCTCTCCCTCTCCTCCTCTTCTCTCCTCCTCCTCTCCAATTCCCTCCTCATCTCCTCCTCCATAGCCTTCCTTTTCCTCTCTCTCCGGTAGTCCTCGTAGTCATTGGGCTTGGCTGGGTCATACTCTTCCATTACAGTGGAAGTGACGCCCACCAGTGCGGGCTGCTGTTGCGCCATTTCGTCGGGCGCAACCGGCGTGGAGGAGGGAGAGGCTGACGCTGAGACAGATGGTGTCGTTTTGGGAATTGGGTTTTTGGGTTTGTTTTGGGATCTGAGGATTGTCTGCGGCGGAGCGAACCCTGAGAAAGGCTTGCGGAGGGTCGGAGGCGCCATCTTTGTGCTGCTTGACCACACCGTGGAGTTGGTGCTGGATTTGTTATCCTCATCGGACGGCGGAGGGAGGTCCCCGTACAACCCACCTAGCATTTTTATTTTTCACACCGATTCGGCTCTTTTTTCCGGGTCTCCGAAGGAAAAACCCAGAAAGAAGATCAAATTGAAGTAACAACGAGAATAGGGATCCGATTGAAAGTTTTGGGCTTTGAGAGTAAATATGGGGGAAAGTAGGGGGTAAAGTTTTAGTAAAATTGAAGTAATGAGAAAGGCACTGCAATGCACTATATGTATGTTGTTAAAGAT